AGAGAACTGGCATCATAAATTGTTGTGGAAATAAATGTTATAGCAATAATTTTGAAAATCAGTTTGGTGTGAAACTTATACTGCGGAAAAATAAAATTCGTACATTCCTTCAAGAAGAAACGAGGTAATAATGATGATACAATCAGCAATGTATTTCATGTAAGAATACTTTTACGGTTTTTATGTATCATACATTTGATTATATATACGTGAAAAAAGTTTATAAAGAGTTTATCGTAATGGGATATCGCTGATTTCTTACATTTGTTCTTAAGCAAATATGACCACCGACACTTTATCTTCGGCCTGATAGGCTGTTCAGCAATTGTAAGTGTACAAAGCAATCAAATATAATTGTTATTTATTTGGTGACATTGCGGCAGTAAAACCTTCTTTTCCCGTTTTGCGCGACCCGTGTCTTCCGACAGGTCATCGATAATCGCTTCCAGAGAGGAGGTCATAGGTGCAAAATGTTTTGCCATTAGCAAAGAAAAAATTAACACGAATAACCAGATAGATAATCCGCGCTATGTATGCAGCTGAGAGATATAACGGAACCTGTTCTATTCTCCTTTAAGTCTCATGTAAGATTATTATAATGAATCTCATGCATTTTATTCGATTCTAAAAATCCTGATGAGAGCGATGTATTTATTTTTTAAAAAGCGTGTTCTTATACAAAATTTAAAAAAAATAATGCATTATTTAAATCCGGTTATATTTATTCCTGTGAAATTATTCAATTTTATGTAATCGTGATAATCATGACTATTTGCATTAGATGTTTTCAATTCTTTTTATCACATTACACAAAAGCGATTAAAACAACGATTTTTAGAAATCTTATTATGATATTAACTAATAAATATGAAAAACCATCAATGTAGCCAATTTTATTATAATAAATATTACCCAAAGAATGAGCTACATACATAAATCACCATTAATTGATACATCATTATGCAATATAAATTTATGTCGTATAAATTTAATTGTAGAACTATTAACTGCTTATGAAAGTTATAGAAATCTTTTTTGTCTTCATCAGACATTCTTTAAACAATTTATCTCTGTATCATATGTAAAAATCTACAAATATAAGAGACTCTACATAAGTATAACGCACAATTAGCAGAGAAAATATTAAAGCAGATAAAATATATATTTATATAAAATAATAAAGAAATGAGAAAACATTTAATCATCAAATAATTTTAATATTAATGTTACGGATAAAATCAATAAAAATAATCTTCCTTATTCTTTTTTATTTATGAAATTTTTTATTAGCATCTTCGCACAATAAATATCCATTGTAATATCCTCGAATTATCGATCACTGTGGAAAGATTTTTGGTAAGTATTGAACGTAGCCTGGGGGGCGGCCGCGCTTTCCATTCACACGACCATTCACTGGACACGGCCGTGCACGAATTACAGTGAACGGTCCAGAGCGAAGACTCGCCGCGAGAAGAAAGAAGAGCGTTTTGCAGCACCGGCGGTGAAATTTCGGCAGGTGCACATCGATAACCGTGCGTGCGTGCGTGCGTGCATTTGTTGATGTGCGCACCTACGTATAAAACCGGCGCGTCCACGTGAAAGGTATGGTGAACGGTAAAGAGTCAGGTATTTAAATAAGGAACCAAGGGGGATGGGGGAGAGGGAGGTCGATCCCGGGTGGTTCGGCAGAGGACGCCACGTCCACCACTTGGCTGGACAGGTACCTGTCTGGCGACTACAGGTCGAAAGAACCCGTTCTCGTCCTTCTACGGGTCTCGCCTTTCTCCCTATCTCTCTCTCCCCTTCTTGCCACCACCACCACCTTCGTCGTACCTTCTTCCCCGTAGACGGCCCGACAATTTCCCACTCCCCTTTTCGTTATAGTCCCGGGGCCCGACTTCAGTCCCCACCCAGGCCGCGACACTGCATGAGTGAATGTCAGCAACACTCAGTACAGTTACTAACGTTCCGTACTGTCAACGATCACCCGTTGATCGTTGTCATCGTCCTCGTCGTCGGCTAAGTCGAGTGCAGTTTTACTATGCGCCGCTCTTGATATACATATACTTGAGATACGCGTTCCGTAAGTGATATTATCCTGCCTTGTAGTCCCCCCACAACAGATCCCTCTCTTTCTCTTCTCTTTTCACGTCACGCATCGTTTTCTTTTTCTCTCTTTGCGTGCCAGTCCCGTACGTTCCACCGATCTCTCTCTCTTTCGCCCGCTCAGCAGGTAGTCCGCGATCTTGCACGGTTACAGGTGCGCGTAAGGTGCTAACGTTTTCTCGACGATCCGCAGGGCCTTCCACATTCTTCGACCGATCGACCTGATTCGAACTGCGATACAATTCGTCAAGCTCCCCCGTCGCGCCCGCGCGATCGTCCTTGCGAACGATCGATCGATCTGGAGCGCGATCGAACGAGTTACAATCGATTGCCAGAATTTGGGCGATTTCACGAAGTGATTGGTGCTCGCCTACATTGCGCGATAACAGAATCATGTGCAGTCTCAACTGTGAATTTTTATTTATATAATTGATTTAATGATATGACATACATTTTTTACGTAATAACTCATGCAATATGAACTATCGAATTCGAATAAAAATAATTCGTAGTCGCATCGATAGTCTAAAGATTGTTGAAACTTCGACAACGTATTGCAGATAACATCCCTTATTGTTAGTATGTTAAATTATCATTTGCAAAATTGATTTTAAATTAGTTGATTCAAAAGCTTATCTTGCGTGAGGTTCATATTTCAAAAAAAGGTGGCTAAAAGGATACGATGATATATTAATTTTGTTGTAAATTGGCGCGATATAAAAAAAAAATAAAGAAAAATAATAGTTTAATATTTCAGTGTACAATGTGAGAGTACAAATTGTCGATACGAATGTGCCGATGAAAAGCGGTCTGTTGCAACGGCACTCGACTTTGATCGAGTGTTATTTTGCTCCAAATTGTAGTTGTTCAGGTCGAGCAATCCACGTTGCATTTGCGGTGAATTAATATCGCGGCAAATCGCGATAAACGTTTGCTTCAACACGTGGCTGTTTCAGGAAATAGCTTCATTCGCACGATTAACGTTCTTTAATGACTGTGAAATAATTGGACCTATTTTTGTCCGACAAATTTGACGAAACGGTGCGATTAGCTTTTAATATAAATACACAAATTGATTTAAAGAAGAAGCTGTGGAGAAAAGAAAAGAGAAAAAGAAACCTGTATCAGAGAGAAAGTAAAGAAAAATAATAGTTTAATATTTCAGTGTACAATGTGAGAGTACAAATTGTCGATACGAATGTGCCGATGAAAAGCGGTCTGTTGCAACGGCACTCGACTTTGATCGAGTGTTATTTTGCTCCAAATTGTAGTTGTTCAGGTCGAGCAATCCACGTTGCATTTGCGGTGAATTAATATCGCGGCAAATCGCGATAAACGTTTGCTTCAACACGTGGCTGTTTCAGGAAATAGCTTCATTCGCACGATTAACGTTCTTTAATGACTGTGAAATAATTGGACCTATTTTTGTCCGACAAATTTGACGAAACGGTGCGATTAGCTTTTAATATAAATACACAAATTGATTTAAAGAAGAAGCTGTGGAGAAAAGAAAAGAGAAAAAGAAACCTGTATCAGAGAGAAAGAGAGAGAGAGAGAGAGGCATTAATCCTTGACTTTCCAAATTCTTCTCAAGGTGAAGTCTATCGAGCGAGCCACGGTAACTTTGTATGCACGTATGGATGAGACCGCCACGATGACTGTACCTCCGCCACTACCAGCGAAGACTCAGGCTCGGGATGCGAACCAGGCCGCTCGGCAGACTGTGTCAATCCGGACCATTTCTCCTTCCGTCTCGCCGCCTCTCGCCAGCGGGCCCGGAGCAACGGTATTCGTCGGAGTTAGCGCACCTACCGTCGATACCACGACAATCTGCAGGGGAAGAATCCCGGAAGTACAATCGGTGAACGGCGGCTACGAAGAACGGAGTAACGCCGTCGAATCGTCGCGACAGCGGTGGCAGCAATCGCAGCATCAACAGCAGGCCGCGCACATAGTGAAGATCAAGATCAATCCGGATGGTGACAAGAACAGCAGGGTGATATCGACGGTACGGTTGACCCTGGACGAAAACGGCCGGAATCGCGACGAGATCGAGAACGAGACGAAAGCGTGCGAGCGCTCGGGTAAGCGGGGTGACGGTGCTGTGGTGGTGAGTGCGACGAACCTGGTGAACGAGCAACACTGTGCGAGTGCTGATGCCGGTGAGGGCTGTGTGAGGATCAGTGTCTTCAGCGGTGAACCGGCGTTTGACAATCAGGAGCGCAACAGTAACGGCGACGACGACAATAGAGACATGGTACACAGCGGTGCTACGGAGACTCTGAATTCGACCACCCTAGGCGGTCGTACGAACGCCTGTTTCTATTACAACTCCTATCAGAATCCGTTAAGTGGCATGGTAATGTCGAGCGGCCAATGTTCGCCTAGCGACACCCTAGACAGCGGTACGTGCAGCGACCTTGACGGCACGCCGCCGCCGTTGCCGAAGAAGAAGAACGCTAGCACGGTGATACTGTCCAACAGCACGCACAATCGGACCGGCAGCGTCACCAGCAGCGGGGCCGAGGTTGATAGCGACGACAACGAGAGCAGCATCAGCTGCGATTCCTTGAATGGCGGCGATGCAAGCGAGTATCGAGTACACGAGACGGCATCCAAGGATGAAGCGAAAATGGATGTCGTGAAGAAATTGATCGCGCTTTCGACGAACGGCATCGACGATCGCATCGAGGAATCTAATAACGTTCATCAGCAGGTTTCGACGATGACGGAATTTGATTGCGCGATACGTTCGCCGACGTCGTCGACCAGCATCTCGCCGTCACCGTCCGGTATGTCGTCCATGTCGAAAGCGTCCTCGACGCCGCGGATAAGGAGTCCCGAACCGACGATCGAACAGAACGGTAAATCGACATCGTCACCGGTCGTCAAAGAGTGCACATACGAGGAGAGGAAGCAACTGGAACAGGAGAGGACAGAGCAGGAGCAGTGCGTCGACGTCAGTCAGAATCAGTCGACCGGTCACAAGTATCTGTATGAGGATGACAGGTATTATAATTTCCACGTGAACGAGCTGCACGATAATAATAAGAACTCGAACGGCGAGAACGGCGTTGCCGAAAACGACGAGAGTTTCGCCGGTTATAAAATTCACGATAAGGAAGCCATACGAAGTGCCAAAGGGACCGTGCGCGGTGTGAAGAATAGAGTACGAGCTGGCATCGCAACGTTCTTGCAATCACCCACCTCCAAGGTTTGTTTCAATAAATTAATTTAATTTCTAGTATATTAGATGAGAAAGAAAGAGATTTAATGCCGAAGAGTACAAGTAAATTTACAGTGTAATAATATTTGAATTTCTTTCACATTTACTGCGACAAAAAATGCGATTTATTATCTTTCAGGAATATTTTCACTAATATTCTTTCTAATAAAAAGCTGAATTATTTCTTGATATTTAAAAAAAAAAAAAAAAATCATTGTGTAGAAATCTCATATGGAAATCGATGAAAATTATCTTAAAAATATTATATTATATTAAATAATATGTTTATGCTAAATATATATACTATATGCAACTTGATTTCACATGCACAAAAATTAAAGAAGAAATGAGATGTTCTTGCAATATAGATTATGTAACATTTCTCTTATATTTGTGGCTTCCCACATTTTAAATATCGATCAATAGACACAATGCAGTAGGGTTGAATCCTTGTAAACGATGGATCGACTTGTTATGCAAATCAAGTACTGGCACTGCGAGTACCTGAGGTGCGTATTGACGAGCTTGAAATCGGTATCGATGCATGCCCATCGGATTGTACGCTGCAATCCGTGCGTCGAGCTGGATGCACTTGATTCGCATAGTCTACAGGTCAAACGCGAAGCGTTAGATTTACAGTTAGATAGCCGCGCCGTCCTCTATCGCTCGCCACTTTGTATCATCATCAGATGGCATCGATTGGTAACTATATCGTGTGTTCTATTCAAATTCGCATTCCACACGTACCTTTTAAAACGCAATAAGCCACGCCTTCTTGATAATAAATGATAATAATGAATTAAATGCTGTGGAAAAACGGTTTATATATTATATACACATTACTGACTTATAAAATAAATTTATATATAAAGTAAATGTGTGATTTTTTTAAAATGTAGTCATTACATAAAGATACACAGCTGTATAAAACACGATGTGCTATTGATATGAATGAAAGGAAAGACTAAATAATTTAATTAATTTTTTATATGGTAGTATGTTACATGATTTTTTAATCCGTCTGATATTGCTTAGGGAAGGGAATCTTTCCTTTATACCTTTACTATAAAATATGACATGAGAAATGATGTCAATAGGCAGAACAGATTTCTTGACTCACTCAGGCAGAACAAGGGATGTTATGGCGATTCATCGTGAATGATAATACTTTGCAGCATACTTTGACAAATATTTACTATCATCTTATCGTTGAACGCGTTTATCTGTCGCGATAATCGGCTTACTTGCATACGAGCCTATTTATTATTTACCGATCGTTCGATAATGCATTTCGCATTAAATTCGTCTCGGTTTCTGGCGAGAAATACACTATTAAGATCTCATCAAATTCGAGGCAATCGACGTAATATATATGTATACGTATAGACGTGTCTTTATTGCGAGATTTTCCGGTGTTGCTATGCGAACGTCGTGCGTACACGACGTTCGTACCGTCGATGCGGAACGGATCGACATAACGGTAGATTCTATAAAACGATATTACAGCAACGTACCGAGAAATGCAACGTACGCAACGTACTGAGATACATCGGCCGCAAGACACAAGTCCTCGTGTGTTCTACGTTTTGGTCTCTTGGTATCCTTCTTTGTTATCGGGCACTCGCTATCCATCCTGTTCGCGCATATGCGCGGCCTATTTTGCGAAATTACAGAGACCGAGGATATACCTCCACTTGCACGCAAATGCGCTAGCAACGGCTGAGAAATAATCCTGCACTTCCTCGCGGCTAAATCTGCCTTTGAAACCTCCATGCCATATCTCGATTACGCTTTTCACGTGCAATCCGCTGTAAATGTGCGATTATTCCCGTTTCTTCTCTCTCTCTCTCGTGAAAAATCGACACTCGCGATGCAAACGATGACAGTTTAATGAAATACATTCTATATCGCATCTTTTGGTAATTGCTGGTAATTACTGATACAGCTAGAAAAGTCTTTTTTTTTGCAAAATCGATTTTTAAAAGTATCTTATTTGAAACAATAATATTTGTTAATATATCTGATAAAAAGTTTGTTGAGGTAAATCATAATTTATTTTAAATGTATCAAAGTATTAGTATGCAGAATTAATTTATGTAAGTAATGAAAATGTAATCAATTATACAATGTAGTCAATCGTTAATACGCTTTATGTAATATGATGTATTCTTTGAAAAGAAGTAACACTTCTTTGAAAAGAAATAATACTTATTTCTTTGAAAAGAAATAATACTTACACTTTCGGAACGTCTACTTCAAGACAAGATTAGACTTCAAATAGACGTCTATTTCGGACGTCTACTACGGACGTTTACTTGATGGATCGCCGCTATACATATATGTATATGTATATATATCAATAGAAATTTTTAATGGTTTGATAGATTAACCGCACGCGCTCGGCTAACCACACGTTACAATATCGAAATATCATGCGTGATTTTGCAGACCGCGCCACTGACCGGTATGTAAGGAACTTGATTTCACATAAAAAAAATTAAGTAAGTGTACCGACACTGTGACCTGAAATCATAAATATCGCTTTGGGTAAACCACCGTGCGGTATGTCCTACATTCGTCGTTTCTCGCTTCCTCATTGCACACCGATTGCACGCAGATTTATCTCAGTATTGTGTGCATCTTATTAATACTGTATCACACAAAAAATGCATTATCATGTTTTATTTTCCGTTACAACGGACTTTCATATATAGACATTTTAATTAAAATAATGGAAAAAACAATTCAATATACAGAGAACATCAAAAACATAGTTAATTACTCTAATTGTATATAAAATTGTTTAATTATTTATATTATATTTATACAAACGATATTATTTAAAGTTAACTTTTGCATGTTTTGCTTTCATAAAACATGTCACACAAAATATTTTATATGACATAAACATCGCTTTCGCGGAGATATTGTGCAAATTTGGCTTACGAGAGGCATGTTTATAGACATTCGCTTTGCGACAGTTTTCTCCTATTGCTTAACATTCTGTACATAATAAGAGTTCTTGCGGTTTTGGACGAATACTCAAAATTGCCATTGTCAGAATATAATGTGAAATTATTTCAGAGTCTGAGAACTTCGTTGTTGTTTAAATTAAACTATAATAATCTTGACATTTTGTAAATATAATATATTAGTTTCTATATCTTGATCATGTTTTCACGATGGAAATGAGATTATTATTATGAGATTTAGCTGATTTCAAAGCGAAACGTGCAATAGGATATGACGCATTTACTTCCGTGTAATTAGTACACAGTAAAGTATAGCTCTTCTCTCTCTCGCTCTCTCTCTTGCTCTCTCTCTCTCTCTCTCTCTCTTTCTCAAGTATACCAAAGCGACTGACATAATGAAACTTGTGTCTGAAACCGCCGTAGTAACTTCTGAGAACGAAACTCGTACAGAGAGAGTACCTATCTTATAGCATGTTGGAATCTTGTGTACTGAATTAAACTAGCGCTTCTTGAATAAATTAAAGGAAAAAAAAAATGTTATTACACATTTTACATATGGCAATACTTATATTAACGTAATGATACACATTTTATTTTTAAATTAAATAAATAAAAATTGTGGAATATATTCTAATTATTAAAAAATTTATATATTTAT